TCTCTGTAAATAAATAAATAAACATTAAAAAATAAAATAATAAAATAAAAGAAGTTTAGCCAGACTGCAGGTCGGTTAAGCAGAAACACTTCCATTTGTTGGGTCCGGTGAGTCTCAGAGCTCCTTTTGCACTCTTAGAAATTAGAGCCCAAAGAGCTTTGGTTTCAGTGGGTTGTAGCTTTGATATTTAACATGCTAGAATTAAAACTGAGAAATTTTTAAAAGGTGTATTAAGTTAGAAAATAATAAACTATTGTATGTTTAGCATGTAGCATTTTTTATGAAGAATAACGTTCAAAAGAAAACAGTGACTGGCTTCTTATATCTGCATCGTTGCAGCCTTTTGACGTGTGTTGTTTTGGTTAAAGTATGTGAAGAAAACATACCCTCCCACAGTTAACGTAGGTGGAGAAGGGTGGCGTATTTTGGAGCCTTCTCAGATCATTGTGGACGGATTTCTTATTTCTACAGCGAGCAGAGATCCCCAGTGAGTGTGAAGTTAACTGCAGTGTAGAATCTGAAACCAGATCAATGAACTTTTCTGACTCTTAAGTTAAAATCCATGGTTCACTTGTGCTTTGGATGGACCTTTTCTCCATATGTGATTTTATAAACGTCATGATTGAATTATTTGAAAAATTCTGGTTTGCTGACTTGAGCAGATCTTCCAAATCTTTATTTTAGAATCACATTTACTAATATCACTATCGATCTCATCAGGAAGGTATTCCAGTGTTGAGAAGCTGTCAAAGTAGCAGTTTTGGATAAAAGGTTTCCAAAATTCTAATATTCACTTGCAAGGTCAACTTTTATCATTTGGTACAAATACTGCCAATTGTTTCCTTAAAGAGAAAAGCACACTTCGTTCGTTTTCAGCAAAATGTCCGATACTCCTGTTTGGGTAAGCATGGTTTGCTAGTCAGTCATTCTTTCACAAAGCTGGTGTAGCCTGAGGAAAACTTTAGTGTTGCAGCCCAGGCAGTGGTTCTGGGCTTTTCCTCGAGGCTCCTGTACTTCATCACACGGGGCCGGATGCAACTCCCTGCACCCTCATGATTTTGTCACAGGGATTGCGAACAGGCACTCGTTGTTGAAATTGAAGAACTTTAGTAATTTTTACTGCTCTGTCAAGGGCCACCCTGAGTGAAGGTGCTCTCGTTTTGATGGGGTCTGTGGTAGTCACCCAGGGACTGCTGCTACATTTGGGGCCCCTCCTTTATTTGTGTTCGGGTCCAGTTTGACCATCAGCAGTGCCGACGTCAGTGCAGGGGGACAAGCAAATGTCAGGGGTGGTTGTTACAGAAATAGTTTTGACCTTACGGACCCCCCGGAAGACGCGCAGGAACCCCTAGGAACCCTGAGATCACACTTTGAGAACCACTGTTTTAATGTCAATACTTCTTGATTTGAGTAAATAAATTATGGGGATTTTTAAGGAGAAGGATCCCACTGTGATCAATATTGCAATGTATAAAGCATGTGTAGGTGCCACTGATGAGGGAAACTGGCCAAGAAAAGATGGATGTTAAACAGCCCTTTCCCTGAAAGAAGTTAATAATTTAACTAAAGGTCAAATTAAAGATTTTTTTTTTAAGTTTATTTATTTTTGAGAGAGAGAGGGAGAGAGAAAGCGTGCACATCCACGACCAGGGGGAGAGGCAGAAAGAGAGGGAGACATAGAATCCGAAGCAGGCTCCAGGCTCCAAGCCATCGGCCCAGGGCTCGACCCCACAAACCGTGAGATCGTGACTTGAGCCGAAGTCGGATGCTTAACTGACTGAGCCCCCCAGGCATCCTACTGATTTCTGATTTAATCGGCGCATCACATTATATAAGAAATTGGTTCTTTGATATTTAGGACTTGAACGTTAGGTTCTTACAGATCTGGTTTTTACAGAAGCGTGACATGTACTTCGTAAGAAGCGTCTTTTCATTGTGGGTGCACCGTGCTCTGTTTATGTGCGTGCATCAGGCTTGTTCATCATGCTGTGTGAATCATACACGGTAACTGACTAACTTTTGGACTGCTTGACCTATCAATCTTGGGAATATATTAAAACTCTTCATCGTGATTATGGGTTTATCTGTTGTCTTGCTAGTTCTGTCAATACTTTATTCTTTGAGTTTTAGTACAAGTTCAGGGTTATTTTTCCTTTGTTCCATTTTTCAGTGTGCGTAGAATGGCTGGCCTTAGTCCACTGTTCCTCAGCATTTCTTATGTGTCAGCAGTCGAAGGTCATCTTTGTTCGATAGGGAGGCCATGTTTACGTCTTGTGTGTGCCAGAAGGACTACAGGGCGCTTGTTAGGGTCTCTGGATTAGGATGGCTCATGCCTGGGGTGGAGTCACACTCTCTCTGAGAGAGAAGGGAAAACAGTATGAAAACAGTGTTTGTCCCATTTCTTTACCTATTTTTAGTCCTGGAGTTTAATTTGAGTTTTCAAATAGCATAGCTTGGGACACCTGAGTGGCTCAGTTGGTTAAGTGTCTGACTTCAGCTCGGGTCATGATCTCACAGTCTGTGTGTTTGAGCACCGCATTGGGCTCACTGCTGTAGGCACAGAGCCTGGAGCCTGCTTCAGATCCTCTGTCTCCCTCTCTCTCTCTGCCCCTCCCCCACTCGCTCTCTCCCTGTCCCTTTCTCTCTCAAAAATAAATACATATTAAAAAAAAAAAATTCAAAGAGCATAGCTGTAGAACATGGTATTTTGTATTTATCCAAAAAGGAAGAGGATTTTAATAGAGAGACACTGCCTTGGGGCTAAAACCATTTCACGAGGGAAAGAAGAAGAGAATTTTGCTTCTTTCTAAGATTCTTGTTTATAAGACAATGCTAAACAAAACATTTCTAAGCCAAGAACAAATACGTTTAAGGCCTTAGGAATGAAAGGACGTTTTCTGGTAGAACATCAGCTCACAAGGTCTTCAGAGTGGTCATTCTAAGCCCAGAGGTTCTCAGACAGCTGCCCCCCCACCCCCAGACATTTGGCGACATCTGTAGACATGTTTGCCTATTACAGCAAGGTCGGGGATGCCGTCGGCATCTAGTTGTCGTACAGTGTGCCGGACGGACCCCTGACGACAAAGAGCTGTACCTGGCCCAAAACGTCAGGAGCGTTGCTGTTGAGACCTTGGTGGGAGACGTAGCTTCCCTCCGGTCCTGGTGGCGTCTGGAGGACAGCTCTGGGAAGAATGAACGTCTCCTGATGGCCAGACCAAGCCTCTGCTCCTCCCAGGCCCATGCAGTGTCTGCGTCCACCTGTAGGGAGGGCCTGTGTGGACTTCCCACGTGGGCTCGTCAGTTGTGGAAGGTGGCGAGGAAGGGCTTGTGTCTCTGCCCGTTGTCTCCCAGGGAACTGCTTACTACAGCGGGCGGCCGAAGCAGGGAACGAGGCAGCGGCTCTTTTCCTGGCCACCAGTGGAGCCCACGTCAACCACAGAAACAAGTGGGTAAGTGTGACGCCGCAGCCCTGTGGTCTGTGGAGGGAGTGGCAGTGGTGGATGTGTAGGGAAAAAAAGCTTCTGTTTTTTAGTTTGTGTTACATGCACTTGGTGCAAAAGCCAGGGTGAAACAGGTCTTTTATCCCCAAATATTGGTTGGTTGATTCATTCAGCAGCCGTTTGCTAAGCATTTGTGGAACATCGGGTCCTAAAGTAGATCCTGTGGACCTGGTGGTCTAGTAGAGAGTAACAGACACGTGCACAGAAACTGGCCACAAATGCATCTCCGTAATTTACGCGCTTTGCGTTTGGAGTTTGCTCCGTGAGTGCGGATTTAGTCTGTGTCTCGGGGTGGGACTGCACGCTCTGCTCGCAACAGGGCCTCAGGGTGAGGCCCCTTCTCATCTTGCCCTGCGTGATCTTAGGCTTTGTGAGCTTCTGTTTCCTCATTTGTGAGGTGGGCTTCATGCTGATGTCACGGGGTGCGGATTAGCACGCTCTCTGGGACGCTGGAGACCACGTGATGTTGTTTTCACTTTGCCATTTTCATGTAGGGAGGCTCTGCTTGTCTGTGAGGTCACGTTTATTTCGTGTCTACTTTGTGTTAAGAGCTTTGGGGATATCAGCCCTTTTAACCTGAGAGTGGATCTGGACGTTTTTGGCACCCACAAATCCCTCATTTCAGGGCAGAGAACATTGAGGTTCCAAGAGGCTCCGTGGCTCTCGACAACGGAGCCGGTATTAAGACTCGGGTCCAGGGTGGAAGGGTGCATGTGGTCTTAGCTGCGCCGGAAGGCAACGGGCAGTCGGCCTCAACGGGAGACCCACCGAGGTGTCTCGAAGCACAGGGAGATGGCAGCCCGCTCCCCCCACCATTAAACCTGCTCACCTCTGTGCCCCTGCATCTGCGCACAGCCTGCTCTCCAGCCGCATGGCGTGTCCGAGTGCAGTGGTGGCCTTCTTGACTTTGCTTCTGCCATCATGTGTCTCTGTGTCTCTGTCTCTTCCTGCATCGTCATGTGCCTGCTGTCCACTCCTGATAGCGCACAGTCATGCCCTGTGCCCCAGCTTTACAAAATCCTTTCTGGGGCTCACATGGTCTGCCAGCTGTCCCTTGTCTGGTGCCCTTCGTAGCAAAACTGGGAGAACCCTAAGATGCGCCAGGAGAGACCCGCCTTGAAAGCAAGTGAGCGTGACATCGGAGAAGGGTCTGGAACGCTGGTTGAGTTCTTTGGACTTAATCCTGAGGGAAGAGAAGACCCACGTGAAGGGTTTTGAGTAGACTGGCGGTGTGGTCATTTGAGTTGAGAGAGCCTACTGGGAAGGTGGCGGGCCGGGCGCACCGCTGAAGTCGAGGCCGGGGCCCCTGAGAGTCATCTGGAGCAGGAACGACCTGTCCTGACCTCAGACGCTGAATCTGGCGGCACAGAGACCGCGTGCAGAGGAGTTGCAGAATTGCACTCCTACCGGCTGTGGCTTTCAGAAGCAGGGGCCGCAGAGGTGGGGAAGCTCTTGGGCCCACAGAGGGAGAGAGGATTTTGCCAGGAGGAGGGACTGCCTTGGGGACAGTGATTTCCATGATGTTCTTTAGGGGGGGATAGTTGGGCAGTGGGGGCAGGGCATGAGAGGAAACTTGTCACATACGTTCCTGTCCTTTTGAATATGGAATCAAGTATGTGTAAGGCCAACCTGAAATGTTTTTAATTTTAAGAAGTGCGAGAAGGAGGTCTTGATGAGAGTTCAAGATGGGGCTGACGTGAGCCGGTCAGAAAAACCGGTGGGGAAGGGGGCCACGGGGCGTGGTGGTCAGACTGGTGGCTCTGTCACCGCAGGGCTGTGGTCCCGGCTCTTCCAGCCTCCGTGGGGCTAATTTCAGTGGCGCTCGGAGGTCGTCTGTTGCTGTCGTTTAATTAGTTGTGTCTATAATTAGCAAGATAGTTACAAGCACAAAGTGAAGGGTGGCTCATTAAGAAGGTCATCGGGCAACAGGAAGCACAAGGCTGTTTGGAGGGCACAGGGGAAGACATTAAAGAAACAAAGGGTGATGGACAGGGATGGGAGGGACAGACCAGGCGTGTGACCAGTCACAGCTGGTGACAGGATGGGCCCGGGGCTGTGGCTGCCCCGGGCACCTGGGTCTCGGCACACAGGCTGTCTTCAGCCCTCTGACGGAAACCCCCAGCACGAGTGTGCCCTGAGCGGGCCGTTTGCTTCTGTCCAGGGAGAAACCCCGTTGCACACGGCCTGTCGGCACGGGCTGGCCAGCCTCACCGCGGAGCTCCTGCAGCAGGGGGCCAACCCCAACCTGCAGACCGAGGAGGCCGCGTCCCCGGCCGGCTCAGGGGACGGCATCTACCTGCAGACCCCATTGCACATGGCGATTGCCTACAACCATCCGGACGTGGTGTCTGTCATCCTGGAGCAGAAAGGTAGGCAGCTGGGGACTGCCTCTCTCCTTGACCTTGAACAGTAGGTGTCGAGTCGTCAGTTGCGGAGTTGATGTTCCTTCCAGCTGTGAGTTTTCTTACTGCAGATCCTCTCAGGTCAAACCGGAGAAGCGCGCAGTCTGGCTCCTGATGGCTGCGTTTCCCCGTGTGCGTTTTTGGGATGGGGCCTGCCCGGTCCGGCTCTTAGGTTGTGGTGTTAGAGCCTTGGACTGCTTTCTCTCTTATGTTGGGTGTTTTCCCAAAGCTTTGCCTCGGCGTGAGCAGTGTCCAGGGACGCCCCGGCCGCAGGTCCCGCACGAGCTGGTTGGTGCTCCGTGTGCCTCAGTCTCCCTGGCAGGCGGGCCAGGGGAGCCCCTGGACGGGGAGGCCCGCTTCCCTCAGGAGGTCATCCCCAGGTTCTCCTCTTTCCTGCCCCGAAACCTGTCTTACTCTTGCCTGCGTCCTTGTCAAGGCCAGCAGTTTTTAGCCGCGTGCTTGTGGACGGAAGTGGGACTCTGGATAGAATGTACTTTTTTCTCAGTCCTCCCAGCAGTTGTAAGGTGGTAGGAGTTACGCGTCAGGAGAACGTTGCTGGGTGTTGTTCTGAGCCTCTTGTCAGCAGTCAGGTAGCACGTGTGTGTTTTCATAGCAGCGTTTTCCTTTTGAGAAGGTACAGTATCTTAAGCTTTGAAACCCTTATTTTCCCCGTAAGCTTTGCTCGAAAACACCAGGTTTCTGGCTTCCACTCCCCAGCAGATTTATGAATTCTCTTTGTGGACAGGTGATTGTGTTACAGCCAGTCAGTCAGCTGGAAAGTGAACTCTTACTGTCTTGGGTTCTTTAAATGTGATCCGTGGGATGGTGAAATCCAGTGTTCTTTTCCTTTAAACATTTTAGCTAATGCGCTTCATGCTACCAACAACTTGCAAATCATTCCGGATTTCAGCCTCAAGGATTCCCGAGACCAGACTGTGCTGGGCCTGGCATTATGGACCGGTAAGGGGAATCAGAGCTGCCCAACTCTGGGCAGAGGGGAGGGGCGGGGGGCGTGAGGGGTGAGCCTGTTCCGCCTGGTGGAAAACCGGCCTTGAGAAGTCGAGGGGGCGTGTTCGTTGCAGGGACACGTTGAGGGAGTGGGAGGCGCTGAGCCTGGGTCCGTTGGGGCCTGTCTGTTTCCCAGGCATGCACACGATCGCAGCCCAGCTGCTGGGTTCCGGCGCTTGCATCAACGACGCCATGTCAGACGGGCAGACCTTGCTGCACATGGCCATGCAGCGTCAGGACAGCAGGAGCGCGCTCTTCCTCCTGGAGCACCAGGCAGACATAAACGTCAGGTGGGTCGGGACCGCCCACTCTGCCGCAGCACCCCAGCCATCTCGTTGACCTGTGGGGTGGCGACTCCTGCACATACTGCACCAAGCTCATTAAAAGAACAGTCTGGAAGCAGTTGTTCAGACGGGGATTTCGTATATAACTGAGAACATTGCAACAAATGAGCTGTCAAAAAGGCTTGCGGGGAAAACGCGGAGTTAAGTTGGTGTTGGTTTTGTGTTCTCAAAAGGAGCATATCTTTATCTCCAAAGTCAGGTGACCCTGAATGACTGAGTGGTAAAAGAAGGGTTTTGTCACGTGGGCAGCTGGGGTGGCGTTTTACCGAGATGCTGCTGGGAGCAGCCGTGTGCTCGAGAGGTTTCGGCACCCTGGGGAGGGGGTGGTCGGCTGTCTCGCTGGTGCAAGGAGGGGCGTGGCTCTATTTCCTAAGAGGCGGGCGGGGCAAGATGCTGCCAACAGGCCGGATTGCCGTGAAAGCACGTGGACGTGAGTGAAGGACGTGAGTGAAGGGGTTGGAGGGACCCGGCGGGTTCTGGCGTCTGGGACGCCCCCAGGGGCAGGGTTCTCACCCGAGTCCAGCTACAGACGTGCGTCTAGGTGTGCGTGTCCTCGCAGGACTCAGGATGGGGAGACGGCCCTTCAGCTGGCCATCAGGAACCAGCTCCCGCTCGTCGTGGACGCCATATGCACGCGTGGAGCGGACATGTCCGTGCCAGATGAGAAGGGAAACCCCCCGCTGTGGCTCGCGCTGGCGAACCATCTGGAGGACATCGCCTCCACCCTGGTGAGACCAGCTCAACTTTAGCCTCTGTTTCCAAGGGGGGACGTTTCGTGTCAGAGACTCGTTTGCTGTCTGCAGGGTGGTGGCAGAGCGAGAGGTCTGGGAGCCGCAACCTGGGTCGGGGGCGAGCGGTTGAAAGTCCCGTGTGAGACACTGGGGAGTTCGGCGTCCTCTTGGCCAGCGCTCGTTTTTAGGCTGTCTTTGTGGGAGCTGCCTCCAAGCAGCCAGAGGGCGGAGGCGTCTCCCCAGGAGTCTTCTCCTGAGAGGGTACCTGGTGTGGGCTGCCCTTGCTCTCACCATGGCGATAAGTCCCCAGACCTCTGGTTTGCCTCCCTTGCTCGGAGGACAGGCCCCAGGAAGGCCTCACTGAGCTTTTCTGAGATGACGGTAAGGGATCGTGCACCTGTCACGGGATGACCTTTTCATTGCAGGTGTGTTGCCAGGGGCGGGGTAGCTGGTGTCTTCTGTCCCTCCTGGGACACGGCTCTCGAGGACACTGATAAACCTGTCTGTCTCGTATTTCCCAAACCCATCTCACAGGACCTGCCGTAAGAACTTGCACAGAGCACGTTTTAATGAGTGTTTGTAGGACTAGCGAATGATACAGACTAAAGTCATCGGCAGCCGATTATCCACTGTATCGTGCCTGAAGCAATGCATGTGATGGGGCACGTAGAGAGTTCAGAGATGGTAATAAAATCTTTGACTTTACTGGCAGTCTTTGCGAGTAATGTGCGTTTTCTGCAGGTCAGACACGGTTGTGATGCCACGTGCTGGGGCCCAGGGCCGGGCGGCTGCCTTCAGACACTCCTGCACAGGGCCATCGACGAGAACAACGAGTCTACTGCCTGCTTTCTTATTCGCAGGTCTGAGAGGCCCACGCGTCCCTTCGTGCCTTCTTACTGCGGCCAGCCCTCCTCTCATTTCATCCGGCTGCAGTCCTGGCAGGCCCGGCAGGCCTTGGCCGGTCTGACTTCCCCGGCTAAGGCTGTCGGGGCTCACTGCCCTGTCAAGCCAGCCGGTTAAGGGAACTTGAGTCCCTTGTGAGGAGAGGGGCTTGTGTGCCCATATAACAGAGACAGGAAGTTGAGCCGGCTTCCTGCTCGGGGGGGCCACAGAGGCTCCCGTAGTCCAGTCAGACCAGTTGACACAGTGCGGCCAGGAGGCCGGGGTGGAGGAAGCCAGATGGCCTCTGCAGGACCCCACCTAGTGCATGAACCCCGGGAGGCCCATGGCTCACCCAGAGTGAAGCATGTGTGGAAGGGACCTTTAGAGCAGTGCTTCTCAAAGGTTATTGATGTTTTACTTTTTCACTTTAATTTTTTTGAGAGAGAGAGCAAGCATGAGTGGGGGGAGAGAAGTAGCGGGAGAGAGAGAAAATCTTAAGCGGGGCTTGATCCCACAGCCCTGGGATCACGACCTGAGCTGAAATCAAGAGTCAGACGCTCAACTGACTGAGCCCTCCCCCCCCACCCGGCACCCCGTTTCTCAAATTTTAAATGCATACGAATCTCCTGGGGAGCTTTTAGGAGTTCTGCTGCCCAGGCTGCCCCCAAGACCGAAAAGGAAATCCAGGGGGGTGGGGCCCAGCGTTCCGTATCTGGGGGCAGCAGCGTGTCTGTTGGATTGTGTGAGGCCGCTGCTGTGACATTTATCAGCTTGCCCTCGGCTGCCTCGGGAGCCTGCTCTTGAAGCCTGCCTTTCATCCCCCTGCTTTCAGCGGCTGCGACGTGAACAGTCCCAGACAGCCCGGTGCTGATGGAGAAGGGGAGGAGGAGGCCAGAGACGGGCAAACGCCCTTGCATTTGGCAGCTTCCTGGGGGCTGGAAGAGACGGTGCAGTGTCTTCTGGAATTTGGTGCCAGTGTAAACACACAGGTATGGAGAGTTTCCTTCTCGGGAGGTAGATGCTGAGCCCAGAATTCGGGAAATCTCCGAAGGCCGGGGGCCTCGCAGACTCTGGGTCCTGGGCCTCGGCTTGGCCACAGGTGGGGCTAAGGGACACACGGAGGGGGCGACTTCCTCTGGGTCGTGCAGCCTGCCCAGGAATTGTAAGGGTTTCAGGTGAAGACTCCCACTTTGTGTCTTTGTTCTTTCTATAGCACGAGAAGGATTTCTTCAGTCAGCTTTTCTTTGCCTTTTATCTCCGTCGGTCATATGTTTCCGTTGAGTTTGTCCTAGTCTCCAGCTGAGCACTGTGTTTAGGAGAATGTTCCAGTAGCTCAGTTGAGCCCCCGTGAGTTATGTGTCCTGGCCTGTGGGGGATGACATTTGCTGCCCTGCAGCCAGAGAGGAAGTGGGGTAACTTAGAGGCGGGCTGACCACGCGTCTTCTAAACGAAGTGTGTCTGTGCCCCGGGTCACTGGAGCATGGGGTCGTGACAGCGGCCTGCAGTCTTCTCTGGGCCTGGCCTCTTCGAAAGTTCATTTCCAACACAAGGTGGCAGCATTGAATCCCAGAACCCAGTTCCGTCCGAAAGTTCTTCTCCTTCGTGCTTCTCCCAGGTCCCCTTTCATTTGTGTCTTGTCCCCACAGGATGCGGAAGGAAGGGCACCTGTCCACGTGGCCATCAGCAACCAGCACAGTGTCATCATTCAGTTGCTGATCTCCCACCCTGACGTCCGCCTCAGTGTCCGCGACAGACAGGGGCTGACCCCCTTTGCCTGCGCCATGACGTACAAGAACAACCGGGCGGCCGAGGCCATCCTGAAGCGAGAGCCTGGGGCTGCCGAGCAGGTGAGGGACCCGCACCCAGTGCCCTGCCTGGCGCCCGAGCTCAGCAGGACCTGTTACGTGGAGACCAAACAGAAGCCCCCTGCCACACGGGTCCCTCACACGTGAAGACCTTTGTGTTGAAATTACACTCCCTTCCCTTGAGGTCTGGCCGTTCAGACGGCCTGTCAGTACCTGTGAGATTTGGTGCTCTGCCCTGTGTGCCTGCCACGTGGTGGTGCCACACGCACGGGGAGGTTGCAGGTGGCCCTGCCCTGGCCGAGGAATTCTGTGGTGTCGTACGTGACGTCGTGCGTGCCTCTGCCTGGTCTCAGGGCCCTAGGAGTGGGTGTCTTGCCAAGATCTGAACGGGGCTCGGGCTGTTGCTGTGACGTCGGGGCAGCTCTCTGGGGGAAGGTGTCTGAGGACTTGTCATCGTCCGGCTGAGCAGGCTTGGGCCTGACCTTGTCGGTGGGTCTCCAGCGGGTGCTGGGACTGGCTGGTGACCTGCTGCCCTGGGGGCGGGGCGGGTGGGACGTGGCCCCTCCGCCCCGGCCCCCTGGCAGGTCCGAGGCGGGACTGGGGTCTCTGTTGGCCTGGAGAGCACCGCCAAGTTCACGAGTAAGCCCCCGATGACAGTGATGTGGAACCAAGCGAAATCGTCTCCAGCACCAGCGTCTGCGTGGGACGGACCTGTGTGGCTGCTGGCCTCACCCCTGCTCGGGTGGTGTTGGGTGCTCTCTCGCGCCCCGTGTGACACGGGCCCCGTAGCTGAGTCCTTGGGAGACATGCTGCTTGTGTCGGTCAGCAGCCTGTGCTGGGGTCACACGCGTGTGAGGCGTGGGTGTGGGGTGCTGCTGCCCCTCATGGCGCCCCGCGTGCTCACACTGACCCACAGCTCCTGTCTGCCCCGTGTCCGCGGAGCAAAGTCTGTAGCATACGGCTGGCCTGTCCCCCATAGTGTGTTGTCTCCTGCACCTCCGTGAACAGGAAACTTTCCAAAACCGCTCAGGGGTCAGGCTGGTGTTGCAGTTGTGGCTCTAGGGTGCTGGGTGCTTGTCCCGCCAGAGCGGTGGGGGGCGGGACGGGGCTCCCAAGGCGGGTCTCTGCCTTTGCCCCTCCTGGAGCACCCCTTCCTCCTTCCGTCCCGCACGTGGTCTCTTTCTTAACTTTCCGAATCCATACTTCCTGCTGCTGGAAGATGCCAGGGCTCCCTGTCCCCTGCCAGGGGGGTGTGGCCATGCACACATAGTCGGGCACACGCGTGTGCAGACGGGGTCTGTCGTGTGTGTGTGTGTGTGTGGTGTGTGTGCCGTGTTGGGTATTGGGAGGGAGCCTCCTGGAGCCGAGGGGTGGCCACACTGGCACGTCTCCCGTGGCCAGCACAGCTCGCAGGTGCTCAGCAGGCTCCCGCTTGTTGCCTTAGGTGGATAACAAGGGCCGGAATTTTCTTCACGTGGCAGTCCAGAACTCTGATATTGAAAGCGTCCTGTTCCTGATCAGCGTCCAGGCTAATGTGAATTCCAGAGTCCAGGACGCCTCCAAGCTGACCCCTTTGCACCTTGCTGTCCAAGCAGGTTCAGAGATTATCGTCCGCAACCTGGTAAGTGTCCCCGAAACGTTGCATGCAACACGCGGACCGCACATGTCGTGGTGCGTGCGGAAGCTCTCGTCACAGGTGTCTGGCCAGGTTTTGTGAGAGGCCAGCACGACTTTGGGGAACTAAGCCAGTGCCCTCGGGGAGAGCAGCTGTGTCGGTGGGCAGAGTGTCCTCAGAGCCCAGCAGGCAGCTTGTGCGGGCAGGTGCTGGCGTGAGGCCTCGACGGAAGGCAGGACTTGGGTGGCCGAGGCCGGCCCGGGGCGCCAAGGGGAGGGAGGCCCACCTCTGTCGTCTGCGTCCTGCGCTGGCCGCCAGGGGCTCTCGAGTCCACCGTTGGAGGTAGAATTGACATGTAACGTTGTATCAGTTTTAGGTGTGCATCATAGGGATTTGATATTTGTATGTGCTGCAAACCGATCACCACAATACGTCTATTTAATACCCGTCACACACATGGTTACAAAAAATTCTCTCATGAGGAGGATTTTTAAGATTTACTCTCAGCAACTTGCAGATGTGCAATATGGTATAATTAACCGTGTTACCGTGCTGTATGTTATGTGCCCAGGACTTAACATATTTTATAACTGGAAGTTTCTACCTTTTATCCCCCTTCACCCATTTCACACCCCCTGCCCCCAGGGACCATCAGTCTGTTCTCTGTATCCAGGAGCTTGGTTTTTTGGTTTGCTTTTAAGATTCCACATAGAAGTGAGATCACATGGTATTTTTCTTTCTCTGTCTGACTTATTGCACTTAGTGGAATGTTCTCAAGGTCCATCCACGTTGTTACAAGTGGCAGGATTTCATTCTTTTTTATGGCCGAATAATATCCCATTGTGTGAATGTACCACATGTTTATCCACTCATCCATCCACCAGTGGACACTTGGTTTGTTTCCATATCTTGGCTGTTGTAAATAATGTGGCAGTGTGCACGGGGGGGGGGGGGGGGGGGGAGCAGACAGCTTTTCAGAATGGTGGTTTTCCAGAGACACAGGACACGCGTGGGCCCCAGAGCCCTCGCCCCCGCCCGCTGTGGCCTGCAGTCTGTGGCCTGGCGCAGGCGGGCTGCGACATGGGCTGGGGGCCGGGCAGTGAGGGGCGGGGCTGCAGGACCGGCCTGAAGTGGACGGGCCGTCGGTGCACCCTGGAGCGTCCCAGCTGTGCAGTGCGAGGTGGGGTTCCGGTCCCCAGACTCCGGAGGCGGCTCCCTCTCGCGGAGGTCAGAAGCAGGCCCAGATTGTCAAAGTTAAGGTGGTGGCTGGGTTGGTTGGCTGGTTTGTGTGACAGAAAAGGTGTTTTAAAGCTTTTTTACAGTATATGCAGTAAGCTTTCTTCTCTATCAAAAAAAAACAACAGTGTTTTTCCTTTGGATGAACACGTAGATGTGGAATTACTGGATCGGATAGTTATTCTGCCTCTAACGTGTGGAGGAGCCTCCACACTGTTCTCCAGTTTGCGTTCCCAGCAGCGGCACATGACGGCCCCTGCCCACGTCCTCGCTCACGGTCAGACTTTCTCATGTTGTGGGTTCAGTCATTTTGAGGTGACAGCTAACCGTGGTTTTGATTTGCGCTTCCCTGATGATGAGCGATGGGGAGCATCTCTTTTCGCCTGTCTGTCGGCCGTCTGTGTGTCCTCTCTGGAGGGATGTCTGTCCAGTTCTTCTACCTGTTTTTAAATTGTATTTGGTGGGGTTTTTTGCTGTTGAAATGTATATATATATATATAGAGAGAGAGAGAGCGAGAGAGAGCGCGCGCGCATGTGCGGGCGCATACAAGCAGAGGAGGGGGAGAGAGAGAAGCCCAAGCAGGCTCCACGCTCTGCACAGAGCCCAATGCAGGGCTTGATCCCACAACCTTGGGATCGCGACCTGATCTGAAATCAAGAGCCGGATGCCTAACCGACTGAGCCCCCCAAGTGCCTCTGTTTTTTTGTTTTTGTTTTTGTTTTTGTTTGCTATTGAGTTGCAGTGAGTTGTATATTTTGGATATTAGCCCCTTACCAGATACATGATTTGCAAATATTTTCTTCCATTCAGCAGATTGTGCCTTTTCATTTGTTAATGGTTTCCTTTCTTGTGCAGAAGCTTTCAAGTTTGTGGCCCCACTTGCTTATTTTTGCTATTGGAGTCAGATCCAAAAAATCACCACCCATGCTGATGTCAAGGAGCTTACCACTCTTAATTCTCAAAAGCAGAAAGGTGTAGGAAAGTTTTTACATTTTACAAAGGAGAAGATGGAAGGTCAGAAAGAATCCCCCCCCCCCCCCC